AGTGGCGTACCAAGGTCATCGTATTTTTAGTTAGGCCAATGTTTAGTTGGCCACGTTCGTTCTCGTCAGAGATAGAGGGACCTTGAATTTCGCGGATAACATCTGCAGCCTTATCGACGTGGTCTCCAATCCTCTTCCTCCCCCTCCTCCCCTCCCCCTCCCTCCCTCTCTCTCTCTCTCTCTTTTTCCCTGCTCCACAGTCTCTGGCGATAAACTTTTTCAGTACTAACCTAGTATAAGCCAGCCGTTCAAATATTAATCGACAATGCGTGGCCGCACCTGAATTTACACAATCGATCGACCGACCAACCAGCCGATCGGCTGATTGTCACAAATTTGCCAAAGTTTTCTTCTCCCTCTATAGTTTCTTCCCTCCCCAAAGACAGATACTAGCAACGAAGGATATCGCAGTCTCTCTGATAAAAAAAAAATGCGTTGACCAGCCTACCACGGTTTCTTATCACGGCCGATGACGATTGTTCGGCGAACATTCTTGCCAGCTGAGACTTGGCCGAAACCGTGAAAAGCCTACGCGCACATACGCCATATACACACGCATACGCGCGCGATCGATCGAATATATTTCTCATTCTTTTCCCGGCGGACGCGTGGTTTCACGGCACACGCACACTTGCACGCAAACACGCGCGAGCGCGCATTCAATACGGCTGCCGAAATCTTGTGGAAGGTCACGCACGCTCAAGTACGTCGTTCTTCGTTCCCGTAATTATTCACCATTAGTGGAGAGGGTGACTCCTATCACCTTAAACGATGTAATCGCGCCGTTACGTCGACGTAAGCAGCCAGCTCCGTCTCTCGACACACGTCGGTAGTGCGGTGATTCTCGATATAGATCGTTATGGGCACTCTCGTTTAATGATTTCCTCGTCTAATGTTTTAGTAGTTAAAATTTGTAATATGATAACACTATAACTTGGCATCCTAATTCTCTCTCGTGTCTCTTTTTCCATTTTTCGTTTAATTAAAGATAATTTCGTTTATAATAGTTATAGATAATTTCATTGTTAACCCTCCGGAGTTGACGATAGGGTCTATTGAACCCATTCAATTATGTCCCTGCAGAGGAATTGATGGTCGTCTATTAAATCTATCCAATTATATTCTTTCATGTTATATGTACACGTTATATCTATAAATTTGAATCATTGTTATTAAAAAAAACTTAGTATTCACACACACACACACACACACACATCTTTTCCATACACTGGAAAGTCTGGTTGAAAATAGATAAATTAAAAATATTTTTCTGGTTGATCTATTATAATTCTATAATTCTAGTTGAGATAATCAGAATCTGACTGATATGATTAGAATCTTCTGGTTCGTTAATTTTCAACCAGAAATTTTTCCCAATTACGCCATTTTGGTTTCTTCAAATTAATGAATACCTTTTCAATATAAATTAAATAGATCTTAAGACCGATGTGCATAAGACGCAGAAGAAACTAATCTAACGTATATTTTAATTATAATAGATTATAGAATGCAGAACGCAAGACGCAGGAAGTTGGGTAAAGTTCAACTTTCTTACGTATTGCGGTCTGCGACCTATTATAATCTGAAATACATTTCACCTGCGACCTTCGTTTTGTGTCTATGTAGATCGAGGCTTTACAGATCTGGTCAACAAAGTTACAAAATTTAACGTCAGCTCCGGATGGTTAAGAGTACATCGCTTTGCAAGTACAGAAAAAAGAAAATGATTAGACCTATCACATCCTCTTGTACAATATATGTATACGAAAGATTAGGGAAAATACTGAAAATCAAAGTTGCGAGACGTAATTTTCGGCGCATTATCGAGCGCAGTCATATTGTATTCCTTTTTTTGAATTATTGTTATTAAAAAAACTTAATATTCACACACACACACACACACACACACACGCGCGCGCGCGCGCGCGCGCACGCACAAACACACATTTTTTTCATACACTGGAAAGAGTCTGGTTTATTGGAATTTTCTCTGGCTAAAAATGAACAAATTAAAATTTTCTGATTGATCTGTTATAATTCTAGTTGAGATAACCAGAATCTGACTGCTATGATTAGAATTTTCTGGTCCGTTCATGTTCAACCAGAAAATTTTCCCAATGTAGTTACGTCATTTTGGTTCCTTCAAATTAATTAATACTTTTTAATCAGTATAAATTAAATAGATCTTAAGCCCGATGTATATCACAGGCAGAACGCGAGTTGCAGGTCCAAACTAGAAACTAATCTAACGTATATTTTAATTATAATAGATTGTAGAATGCAAGACGCAGGAAGTTGAGTGAACTTCAACTTTCTTACGTATTGCGGTCTGCGACTTATTACAATCTGAAATACATTTCACCTGCGACCTGCGTTTTGTGTCTATGCAGATCGGAGCTTTACAGATCTAGTGTCAACAAAGTTACAAAATTTAACGTCAGCTCCGGATGGTTAAGAGTACATCGTTTTGCAAGTACAGAAAAAAGAAAATAATTAGACCTATCACATCCTCTTTTACAATAAATATGTATACGCAAGATCAGGGAAAATACCGAAAATCAAAGTTGCGAGACATAATTTTCGGCGCATTATCGATCACAGTCATATTGTATATTCCTTTTTTTCTCTCTTTTCTTTCCTTCATCGTACCTACGAATGTGAATAAACGTCACGGCATCGTATCGACGATATCATGCCGCGTATATTGATTTTATATTGCAAAACGTTAACATGAGGAGGACAGACAACGTTAACAACACATCGATACGCAGCCCAACCCGTTCAATCGAGCACTTCAACGATCGATTATCGAGAAATCAGCAACACTTATGTCAACGACACTCAAAGCATCGGCGCTGATCATTCAACACCTGATCGGGAAACTGGCAGATGCGATACGTATACACAAACGCCGAAGGCGCGTCGTCGCGCGTCGTTGATCCACTTTCTTTCTTTTAGACCCGACGATGCACCATCTCGTACAAACCGGGGTGACGATCTCGCGGGCGCGGCACGAATATTGCACAGTGATGCCAAACTCCGGTACATTTCATTCCATTTCTTTTTACACCAATTGCGTTGGCGTACACATCATTGTGCTGATGGTAATAACGGCGGTTCGATGTTGGAGCGAATGTATCTGCTGCGGCCAGTGTGAATTTTTCGCGCGAGTCGATAAAATTGTCGTTAGCTCAAAGGCGTCGCTCTGCCCACGTAACTCTACGCTCGTCATTCAATTACCTCGATTGCATAGAAAAGACGAAAAAAAAAAAAAAAAAAAAAAAATTAGCAGGCAAGGTGTCTCGAGAAGAAATTTCTCTGAGTGAACACAACTTAACTCTTTTACAACGTGTACGATTCTTAGATACCTCGTTCAATGTAAGTCAAAATTGCTTTGTAGGAAAACTTTTTAGCAAGTATGATAGTTTCGATATGTATCTGGAAAACGTATTTCTCTCAAAGATTGTAGTCATGATTAAAAATTAGCTATAATCAAAAATCTCCTATCATAGTAATAACGATAATACGAATACGAGATATGTCAATGATAGTAATGTAACTGATGTATTCTTGATGTAAGTGTTTTACTCTACTTAGATGATCGTAACTATATTACAAATATTTTATTTGAAACGATCTGAATAATACGTTATTAAATTCAATATGTTTCTCCAGAAATATCTTACACTCATATCGCTCCCTTACTTCAAAAATGATAAGAAATTAGGTTTAAAAAAAGGAACTATATTTTTCAATTTGATAAAAAATTATTTATTAATGAAATAAGTATCGACGAAAAGAACATGGATATTCTAACATAATCAAATGTCATTTTTATTCAATTCTGTTTTACAAATCTTAAAAAAAATAACGTTTTTTGTGTAGTGATTATTTTTTTTTATAAATCACTTTTTTGGGTTTGATGTTTTTTTATAAAGTTAAATTAGTTCACTTCTGATGATTGATAGAGTAAAATTTATCTAACTCATTCGTAGTAATAACTCGAAAATGACGTTTTTTTAATTGTGTCACTTTTGAAGTAAGGGAACCGATTTGAAACATGAATAGATAAATATCGATATTATACATCTACATTTTTATTGGACGTATAAAATTTACAAGTAAAAGTAATTACTTTTATATAATATCTGCAAAGTATATAGATATATTTATAAACATATCAAACGCAACGCGGTATATAACGTTTCCGATACATAACGTAATAAAGCACTTGTGCCAGCGCGCGGATTCATCTTTTATACAGAATCTAGATAAACGTGATAACAAATTCAATCGCAATTCATATTTATGTATTTGAGCGTATCGACGTATCGGTTAACGAGCGTAAGTTACAATCGGCAAAGCGATGCCGGTGTGCTAAATTTTGCAAGAACGATACGACAGGAAGAAATTGATGAAATTCTACGAATTACCGTTTTCGAACTCGGCTGTAAGATTACGGTTACCGAGTTCGACCGTGGAGCCGCACGTAATATATGATGCTCCGCGTAATACATGATTTTTTATGATATGCAAAATGTAGGCGATTCGTAAATGGTACCGTATTGTAATGATGATATCGATGATTTTGGAACGCATGCCAATTAGAAAAGATTTAATAAATCTTTCAAGCAGATAGTAGTGCTCTTTCACCGCAACCAGTAAACATTTTCATTCTTATAATTTGTGATTTATGGTTAGTTTGATATAACTGCACAAGTCCTTTTAGTTACTTTTATTAGAGCGAACCGCTACATCGCGTACGATCGAGGTCTGTCGCGATGTATCGACTGTCAGTGGAAGAATAATAAAGTAGCGCAGAGTGCCCTTAAAAAAATCAAAAGAACGCACATTGAACGCACGTTTCTACGGTTCGCGCGCGTGATAACGAGTGCCACATATATAGCGGGAGCGTGTGATATCGATTACCTCGATTTCTCAAGCAATTCTAATGATTTCAAAAGGGCAGAGAGCTAAAAAAAAATATTCAAGTTCCTTACCTTGCGAAGTGCCCGCTAGATCCGGCGTCTGCAAGCCGTGGCCCAACCCTGGAAATTTCACTATCGTCACACGTAGCAACGGCAATGCTATCGCGCGTAGGAACTCAACAATGGCCTGTACGCAATTTCGCAATTAAAAAAGAAAAAACGCGTAGTGGTGCTGAGGTGACGAGGGTGGTGGTGCGGACAAAGCTTGGCCGCGCGAAAGCGGAAGCTACGGCAAGAGTCGAAGACTCCAGTCGCACGGACGATATGCGTGCTCAAACGGTGCTCAAACAAAAAAGTCTACCAATCGAGCTAACGAAAACAACCGAATATATCTTTCTTAAAAGGCAAAACGAAACAAACTCAGGCGTGTTGGCAGTAGTCAACATTCGATTCGAATCGTGACTTTTAATTCTACAAACGTGCACATAGTGAGAAATACCGCGATCGAACGATCACGGAGAAACCGTGTGCGCTGGAGTGACGATCAATCGCGTATGATCAACCCTTAAGTGCAGAAGAATAAAACGTACATACATACGATAGGCGTCGTAATTGTCGTAATCATTTTTCAAAAAAAAAAAAAATCTAAACTCGATCTCTTCTTCACAAGAGAGATTGTCTACCTCAGATTGGATAGAAAAAAAAAAAGGATAGTCCAGGATCAATATAAATATGGAGCAAATGAATATAATTGGCGCACTTAAGGGTCAAAGGGTGTAGTTGAACGCAGCCCAAGGGCCGCGAATTGGTCTGTGCGTACAGGCCCGCCTTGGAGGTCTGGCGTTCCTCACGTACCTGACAACGGCGTGTGATCGGTGGTGAGCGCCGCCATACTGAAGTTGAAGCTGCCGGGCGTCGACGTGAAGAGCTTGCTCTCCGGCAAGAAGTTCTGCGCGGACGTGTGCTCCGGTTCGGGCTCGTGCTCGTTGCTGCTCGCGGACGCGGGCGGCCGGTCCGACGCCGCGGCGCCGGAATCCGACGAGTCCTCGTTGCCGGCGTTGCCGCCGCCGTTACCACCGGTCAACTCCAACGGTTCGCACTTTATATTCTCCTCGACGAGGCTGTTCTCGTCGTGCACCCCGTTGCCCTCCACCTTCGTCGACAGGTGGTTGTTCTTGACCATCGAGAAGTCCGTGGGTGTGGCGTCGTTATTGTTGAGCGGCGGCGACGGCACCCGCGGTCTCTTCGCCGACTCATCGTGCGGGTCCGGGGTGCGTCTCTCGTTTCGACGTATCTGGGCACGGCGCAGTAGCTGCTGCACGGTGGTCGGCGTCGGGGTCACAGGCGTAGGCGAGCCGCCGCGAGGGAAAGTCTCCTCGGACTTCTCGTGGAACGGCAGGTGATTGCCGCCGGCCGCCAACGCGCGGACATGCGACAGCTGGAAACAAAAACGGTACGGCAATGGTATTAATTATATAGATTACGGCATATAAACACGCACTGCACACGCCACTCCTACAACACCCTACTCTCTCTCTCTCTCTCTCTCTCTCTCTCGGATCGGCTGTCATTACTGAGATCATCGCGATACGCGAGCCGAATTTGTCGTTTGATCAATCGATAAATCGTTCCGCCGAAAATGATAGTTCGGCTGAGTGTGCGGTCGACAAATTGAAGAGTCTCGCGACGTCGCGACGCCACATCGATATTCGATACTTTACATTTACGGTGGATATCCGGTTTTCGATTTATAGTGCAGGCCGCTTTATCTTTGTTTGCTTGACCTATGACAATTACGAATTGGAATCAAGATAGACGCGCTTTATATCGAGATAATGAGGGGAAAGGGGCGCTGAAGTAATGTCTAACGGCGATAACGTGCAAGATACACTTGAGCTTTCGAGAGATATGCACGAGTTACACGGCCAAATACGCGCGTGTCTGTTGTATCGCGCACGCGAGACGTGCGAACACTCACTCACTCTCTCTCTCTCTCACACACACACACACACACACACACACACACACATATACGCGCGCGTCAAACACGCGTTTACACGCATTTTTAACAAACCGTACGTAATTACGGTGTGTTCGATTTCAAATGTGCTACAGACACGGTCAAGAAAATTGGAACGAAGATAGAATCTTACGCCAGCTGTTGCATCTCCATTGTCACTCGTAAACGCAGCGAGCACAACGTTCTCACGTGCCTGCAGCATCAAAGTCCGAAACTCACCGGAATTACTCCGCTTTCAGTCTCCCCCCCCCCTCCCCACCCCATAATTGCGTTTGGAAAAAAAAAACGTACCTCATCTCTGTCGGTTTGATCGGTCTGTTGCGTGAGGCCCGATACCCTGAGGACCTCCGCCGTCTTCAGAAAACTACTGAGAGAACGTTGATGCACGTTCACCTCGCCATGATATATAAACTCCACTAAGGCATGCAAGTCGCTGAACGCTACATCCTGGAGCACTATCACTGGGTGTTTGCACGGTGTGCTCTGAAATGGGACAACGTTTATTGCGCATAATCATTAGGCGATGACGAATGATTTCTTTCTAATATCCATTTCTACCGTAGATTAACTTTAATCTCGATTTAGCTCCCTCTTTATCTTCTTTCAGGTTGGAAAAAAAGAGTGGATGAAAACTAGATTAAAATTAATCTATATATTGACAGAGAAATAAGCTTATAAGATTATTGAATTGTTCTACCTTTCGATTGTTCTACCTTTAGACTCACTGTCTTACTCTCTTACTCTTTTGTTTATCCAAATAAGTAAATTTACCACATAGTTTATCTAAAGATAGAACAACCCAGCCCTAAAGAGACTTTGAATTTGATTTTATTTACTTGCAAGCGAGTCCGCTCCGATATTCACGTGAATCGTGAACCGGAAGATCTTCGTTGACGTGGATAGGCGGGGATATATAGAATAAGGGAGAAGCGAGCTCTTACCTTGAGCAATTCTCTGAAGTACGGACTACAGGCGGAGAGAACGACGCGATGCGCTTTCAGGCTCTTGCCGTCGCAGGCCAGCGTCACGTCCACAAAGTCCTCATCGTCCCGCAGATTTTCAAACGCCGAGGTTATGCTGCTCTGGTAATTGTTCCATCGCAGACAAAAATGTTGTGTATCTACCATCGTTGTGTCTATTCACCTGCAATTAAAAGTAACGCCTTGCTGCGACCGACTGGACGACACAACTGTCACTTAAGATCTAAACGCGATGCCCGATCGGCTGCGCCGCTTAAACTAACTTGATGGATACGCGCGCGCGCGCTTGCATAATTAAGATTTTCGACTACAAGCCGTTCCTAGGGCACGACTCGTGCCGATAAGCTTGCAAACTGATAATTTTAGATAAGTCCAATTTCGACATTCGAAAACACAATTGCAACGTGTACACACATTCGATACTGATAGCAAATCGCAATTGCATGTGTATGACGATATTCCTGATAAATCCCGGAGATTGACTATAAGAAAAATGAAGAAAAAATAACCCACGATTAGATGTAAAAAATTTATGTTTATATTTGCGTCATACGTATTAATTAATTTAACTACTATCTAACTTGCATCACTTCCTACAAGGATGACAAAAAAATTTGATATTCAAGTTTTTGCAGCGTAGAAAAAAATTCAATCAAATCGTCGACAAAAAGTATTTTTTAATCAGCAATTGATTCGCCACAAATAAATTTATTACATAGAGGTTAGTAAAGTTTTTCTAAGACTCGAGTCGATCTTAAAAATAAAAGAGGAAAGGTATATATGTGTGTATGTGTGTGTACATGTGTGTGTGTGTGTGTGTGTGTGTGTGTGTGTGTAAGAGACGCACGATTACGTAGAAACGTAAATATAAAAGACAAAATGTCCATTACGTCGAGATACAAACGGTGAGATGTGTACACGTTCCTTCACTCCAAAATGTCCGCATACGTAATAATCCGAAAACTTTCTTGCGTTTATTAATCGGTCATGCGTAGCGACACAATAAATTGAATTCTATCGGAGAAATGGAGAAATGGAGGCATATTGATAAACTTACCGCGGCGCGAGGAGAGACATGCGTTTTGTTTGCCCAATTGCGTAGAAAGAGGAGGTGAGGGACGGTGCGATCGCGAGAATAAAATTTAAGAAGAAGCACCGTATGCAATTCGCCGCTTCACCATACGGGAAAATTAGGTCGTCAAGCTGGAGCCAATTCAGCACGTTGATTAAATAATTCTCCGCTACTTATAAAAGCGGGAGCACTAAATGTACGCTGATAGTGTTATCTTAGCGTAATGATAAAAAAAAAAAGGAAAGATCTTAAAACAAATTTACAGAGCTTGTTACTCGCGCGAGTATGCCAGCGCGTTGAAAAAAAAATGCCGAGGGGACATTTAATGGAAGTTTTGTGGAAAAAAGACGTTTGTTTTGACGTTTTTCTACGCACGAAAGTTTATTAGCGAAATTGGAACCGATAGCTATCGCCGCCGGTACATTTTATCATTTTAACAAATAACAAAATCTACATAACAGATTCGCAAATCCATTTACACCACCAAAGTATCATACGTGTGTGTCGGAACTCGGTTATAAAAATTCTGAATTTCAATCGTTTCCGGTTTCGCATTTTTCCCCATTGCGATGATAAAAGGAGGCAAGTGAAATGCGAGACGATGCTGCGGAAAGAAAAGTGACTCGACAAGTGAGAAACGCTTGTATCTCCTTCCCTTTAAATCGCATACCGATGTAGAAATTGCTTTGAGTTTCTATATATCTAGGGTCGCGCTATCTCATTCTGCTAAATTTATGTGTGACGAATCCACGAGATAACTTCGCCAGCGTACATTGTTTGATAACAGACAAAAAAAGGTCGTCTCGCGTGATTCGATTGGTAAGGGAAAAAAAAAAGAAAAAAGAAGAAGAAAAAAGTAACAACTTTCGGCCTATCGGCCACTTTCGCGCGCTCTGTTGCCAGCGGTAACTGTCGCCGTTACTATTTGTACAATTTCGCAGTACAATCGCACAGTCGGTCCACGAGATGACCGCGCGGATGAGAGAGATTACGCGAGCGGGGAATCTGCGAGTTTTGAAAATTAGCATGTGTCACACGTTATGTATACCACACTCCCGACGAAACGTCGGTTGGCTGAGAAAGCATATACACACATACACGCACACACACACACACACACACACACGCGCGCGCGATCGATGGATCGAGATCCCCCCCCAATACAATACCTTCACTAACACACATACACGACTATAAGTTGTACTCTCGTACGATGTGTATAGTTTCTAAGGCACGCTCGGCCGGCAACGGGAATCACAGTTTGCCAAGTGCGAACGCGTTATCGCGAGGTAACACCTATCAGCCGTCATGCCGCGTAAGCTAATGACCGAAACAATGAACCGAACACGACGACGATGGGGCGACGCTGCTTGCGTGCGTGCGTGCGTGCATGCGTGCGTGAGTGCGTGCGTGCGTCGTGAATGAGTGAGTGAGTGACTGAGTGAGTGAGTGAGCGAGCGAGCGAGTGAGTGAGTGAGTGAGCGAGTTAATGAGTGAGTGAGTGAGTGCGGGCAGCCGGCGGGCTTTTGCGTGTGTTTATCTCCGGACAAAAGGAGAAGTGAAGCATAACACTAGACACACGCGAGAAAAAAATCGTTCACGCATTCGCACGGTGGTTCCTGTCGTGCCGAGACTCAGGTTCCATCCGAAAAATCGCGATCGATCCGAACGATCCCGCCGTGACACCCGCGTGATCGGCACGTACAACAGTTAAAATGTGATACAGAAGGAATTCTCGGCCGTGGATCCGTTTGTGCCGCGAAAAAAAAAAAAGCGAAGCGAACGTTTTGCGCGAGCGAGCGAACGAGGGTGCGAGGATATCAGTAAATACACTTTCAAATAAATACTAAACGATTTTGTCGTTCCTTCCTTCCTGCGCGTGGATCATCCTCCTACCCCTCCGCTCCCTCTCATCGCGCGCACCAACCACCACCACCGCCCCCACGCTACCGCCGCCGCCCGAACTGTCGGCCACACCGAAAGTGATCGCGATCGAACGAGGACGGCGCAGTGCGCGCGCGAGACGGAGAGAGAGAGAGATAGGCGGAGACAGAGGCGGGACGAAGAGAACGAGAAAGATGATCGAGCGCGCCGCGACCCGCGACTTTCGCGTTTGCCGCGCGCGCGAAATCCGCGTTTCATCCGCGGATATAAATCCGGATGTCCGGATCGTCGCGCACGTTTCAGCACGGTTACACGTTAACGCGATGTAAATAATAAGATAAAAAAAGATCGCGCGATTAAAGAGACGACCGGAGAATCACCGGTACAGCACGGCGGTAGTGGCGGTGGCGACGACGACGGCGACGACGACGACGACGACGAGGACGACGAGGACGAGACGAGGACGGCGGTGGCGGTGGCGGCGACGATACGCGCGATATCTTCTGCACCTTGACTGAGGGCGCCGCGAGCGAGCAGTCACCGCAGCAGGCTCCTTCCCCGTCGCATTCCGTGTGCGAGCGAACCAACCAACCCCTAAAACGTCACGTCACGACTGTGCGACTCCGTCGCGGAGAAGGCGCCGCGCCTCCCCCCCCCCTCCCCGCACCCTTCACGTCGGGGCCGGTACGTCGCGAGGCCGCACGAAAATGTACGAAAAGCCGGCGATCGTCGCCGTTATACGAGAACGGGCGCGTGCTCCTCACCGCGAGAGGGAGGAAGCCGAGACGGAAGAAGGAACGAGTCGCGAGAGGGAGAGAAAACGCGCGTCTTGCGTCGCGTCGCGTCTGGAGAAAATACTTCTCCAAGGATATGGAGAAAGGAAGAGAGAGAGCGAAAGAGACGATTGAATGCGGATTCCTCACGCGGACCGAGAGGAAGATGGACGCAAGATTTGACGTGGAAGGCGAAAGGGGAAGGAGACTTTTTTCATACTTGAGAGTACATCTCTAATCGATAATGTACGTTTAGAAGACGAGTGCTGCACGAGCGAGACCGAGGAGAAAAGGAAATGAAAAATGAGAAATGAGAAATAGCGCGACGTGCGTAACCAACGATGACAGGTTCCGCGAACGACGACGCCGCGTGTGCGATAAGATGAAGATGTGCTAAACGCGATACGCAAAATGCGACAGAAACGCACGGCTGATTGAAGACGGAAAAAAAGAGGAGGCACCGTAATCCATTCCTTATGTTCATCTATAATCAATCGAAAAGGTCTGGCGGCTAATGATATGTATACAGATGCAAATTAAAATACCGAGAATTGAAATTGGCACATCGTTTCGGCTAGTTTTATTTACATAAGAAACTCGAGTCCCATTACGTTGAATTTTTATCATCGTGAGTAAACGGCGGAACATTCTCGCAAATTTCTCGCAAATTTCGCATCGAAGTCTGGATTTACACGAAATTACACGTTGTTTTGCAAATCTTGTAAAGTACAATGAAACATCGAGAAGAAATAATTATTTGATGAAGATGTAATGATAATGGAATAGTTACTTTGTTACGAAAAAGGATCGGAATCAAAGTCATCGATTAAAGATTGTGCGTTAATCGTTAATATGTTAATTTTAAGATTAATTCAAGAACAATTACTCCAGTATCAAGAATTCAAACTGGAGTAATGGATTCGATTTGCTATGCTATAGATAAAAAAAATATATCTTTGCCATATATCTACTGACACGAATAAATGTAAAAAAAAAAAAAACATTTTTCGTCTTAGAAATACATTGATTTCTGAAGTATTATACTCGAGAACGTAATTTTCAAGTAGCTCTTGGATCTTTTATCAATCATTTTTATACCGACAATTCTTATGCGACTTTCGAATTAAAGATTTACCGGGAAAAAATTCCCTTGGATGTCCAATTAGCGCGAAAAAAGAAGAAGAAGTAGATTGTCACAATTCTTCAAGGCGATAATAAGTAACCGAATAAAAATAACGTTTCATATATACGAGGTATATATGAAAAATCACGAAGCGATAGAACGTAATTGGACAGAGGTGCGATCTAAGAAATCCGAATGAGGCCGATTACCTCCAATTCCCATGATTTCCAACGTGTAAAATTGTCGTTAGCGTAAACTGCTCTTATACAAACGCGGCTCTAACGAGGCGAGATTTATTCTAGAGCGATGGTCCCGAGTTAATTACCTTGTGGGGGGATCTGTCAGAGAGTCGCTCTCACGTGCGTCGCCTTCCCGGTGTCGTCTCGTCGATTTCAAACCACCATCCTCCAACTTCTGGTTCCGTCTGCGGTCTGACGGTCTTCCGGTCTTCCCTTTTCCTCCACACCGGCTGTCACTGTGTATCACGCGGGTCGCAGTTAAATATCATCGTTTCACCGACGACGCGCGGTACCAATTGACTGAATCCCGGCGGTGCCCTCGTTATCGCCGCGCCGTTTGTCTGAAAACCATCCGTTTTTTTTTTTCTCTACGTGTGATCTTCTGCGAAGATCTTACTTATGGGAGGGAGAGAGAAAGAGAGAAAGAAAAAGAGAAACAAAGTAGCGCGCGTCCAAACCGATTTACCCCCTCATTACTGGCGGTGATGGTGATGCACACCGTGCACATGTGCGTACGCATGCATCTCCACCCTCCCTCTCGTTCAGTCGCGCGCGTGATGCACTCAACGTGCGCGCAGACATACTCTCTCTTTCTCTCAGCCAAGGCGCGCACACACACGCACACACACGCACACACACACATGCATGCATGTACGCATACGCACAAATACGCGCACGTTGCCACGAGCTGCACATACCGCGATTGTCGAAAAAGCGGAACCTCACCGGCTATCTTTCTCTCTCTCTCTCTCTCTCTCTCTCTCTCTTTCTCTTGGCGCGAGGAGCATAAACTGTGTAAAGCGAGGACCGAGAATCGCCGCACTGACGAAAAGGAACACGCGCGAGACTCAAACGACCGAAAGCGAGACAGACGTCTGCGAGCGCGGCGACGAAAAGATTCTTTCTCACTCTCCCTCTCACTCTCCGTCTCTTCCGACCGCCGGCCTCGTTTCGACCGCGAAATACGAAATGTCCGACCGCGAAACGATAACGATCGAAACGGCACGAGTGGACGTATCCGGACTGGGATAAACGTGTTACCTACCCACGTGTGCCAGCACCAACTTGGCGAAGGAAGGAGTGCACGTTCCGTTCTTACACCCCGCGATCGAAACAGCGATCCTCGGTGCAAGTTCGAGGTCGGATGGACGAGGGCACGATAGACATAATCACTGTCGCGACATTGCACGCGCCGGGGAACAACTGCCGATTCGCGACGGCAGTGACCGGCTTGAGAGTTGAAAAGCGTGGCGGCGAATTGAAAAACGTTAAAAAGGGAGGAAAGGAAAGAAAAGAGAGAGAGAGATAGAAAGAGAGAGAGAAAGAGAGAGAGTGAGAAAAGAGAAGGAAAGAATGAGAGAGGGGAAACAGAGGGAACGAGGAGGAGCCGGAAGAAAAAAAGGAGAGACGTGCGTAACGTAAACCGGCGCGTTACAGTGACACCACGAGCCGACGAAGCACCAAGTACGGGCTGCTGTTCCCGAGCCTGGTTAGGACTAGCATGCGGGGGGAAGGCTCCCGCTTTGCCCGCCGTTATTCTTTATCGGAGCATGAGACATCTGTCGTAATAAGTGCGGACTAAAAAATAGTGCGTACGCAGAGAGAGAGAGCGTGAGAGTTGAAGGCGCGCGAGAACGAGAGAGCCGGCCACGGGCGCCATGGTGGGAGAGGTTGATGCTTGCGGCCGCGGCGGCTGTTTCTCTCCCCGTGGACCCCGCAACACTCTCTCTCGCTCTCCCTCTCTTGCTCCCTCCCCCTCCCTCTCTCTCTCTCTCTCTCTCTCTCTCCCTCCGCCGGCGCACTCTACCCCGCCGTAATCAGTTCATGAGACGAAAATGCGCGTAGCCGCCGCGAACCGAGTCCGGTTGCGAGAGCTGTAAAAATGTTGGATGCGCTCGAAGAGAGCCTGAGAGAGCGAAAGAGAGGGAGGGAGAAAGATTGCGTACGTCAAGATTCTCGCTGTCGTGAGACATCCTACGCATCTTTTCCGAAAAACGCTCGGAAGAGAAACGGGAAAAAAAAAAATCTTTCTTTTATTTTATGAAGATTTTCATTTGATTAATCAAGATTTAATTTTGCCCGTCAGTCCCGAACGTCGACGTTGTTCATTGTTCGGACGGTTTTTTTTTTTTCCCGGGAACCCCCTTTCGAATTCCGTGCACGTTTCAAAGATCAATCCTAGGTTTTGATTTACGAGCCGGTAAAAAGAGAAGAGATGGACGAGATTCACGCCTTGAATGTTATCCCGAAAAACATGTAGCGCATCGCGCGAAAGGATCCAGACAATTTTTCGATTCAGGGATACGAGTGCTCCGAAACAAGAGGAACGAAAGCGTAAAATGGTTCCTACATGTTTCGACTGAGATCGATAAACGGGATCCGCTCCGCCGTTTCCCCGATAATTATGTACCCCCTCATTCGTTAACATTAACGAAGCAAAAACGCGTTGACTCGCTCGCGGATGCGCGCCGCGCGCGACTCGCGAGTATATACGAGTATATATACGTATATATACGTATATCCTTGCCGGCGTGGCACGCGCTTGCCGTCCTGCTCCTGCTAAACTCGACAGTAGCACCCAGAGCTATTACCCCCCTTTCTCTTTCTCTCTCTTTCTGCCGCTCGCGAGCCGTGCACCACCGTAGGCGACCCCACTCGATTCGCCCCTCAAAAAATCATTACGCCCTTCCACGGGCTGCGCATGAACGCGGTTTTAATTCGCTACTAGAAAAGTAAAATGTAAACGGTGGTGGGCTCGAGGGCCCCGTCAAGGGGCGGGTGGTGGTGGTTGGTGGCGGGTGGCGGGTAGCGGGTGACGGGTGGGGTGGGAGACCAAGTTTCGCGGACGTGGTCGAGGACGAGGCGAGCGAGTGTACGAGGAATGAAGCGACTGCGAGAGCGCGACGTAGGACAGATCCTTTTTCCTCCGACTAGCGACTAGCAGGAGGAGGAATATGACGGCGCGGGAGAGGATGGGGCGCGGTAGAGAGATGGAGGGATTCGAGGTAGAGGCGAGAGGAGGATATACTGCGCCCCTACTTCTCTAGGGGTTCCATTGTAATATTTATTGATTGGATTCCTAGGAGCCCAGGCTGTGAGGGCTGTGGCACCTATGCTTGGACTAGATTGCGTACGAGCGCTCGCGATGTTCCTCGATCAAGCCGCCACTTTTTTCATCATGTTTTTTCTTTCATCTTTTTTACCTCCTTTTTTTTCGCGCGTACACCTATCGACATTCTCTATCTCTCTCTCTCTCTCTCCCGTTCCACCTCTCTCTATCTCTCTTTCTGTATATGTGTGCGTGTATGTGTGTATGTGTGCGCGCGTGTGTGTCTGTGTGCGATCCACGTGGTCACAGATTTGCGTAAATGCCTGTAGCACATTCCGAACGAGCGGCACGTGTCGCGCGATTTCGACAAAAAAATCACGAGAGGCGAATTAATTACGGAATGAATAAGAATTGAGACATTTCGAATTTAAATGATGCAATCGTCAAGGAGGAGAATTGATACCTTCCATGAAAATCTTATTAATGAAAACTGAATAATTCGGAAAAAATGGCGATTTAGATAAGTAAGTATCCTATTATTAATAAATTCCTATTATAAATTGCCGATGGCTGAAATTAAATTATGTTAACGATCTCAAAACAAAAGACGGTTGCGATAGTTACAATTTCAAGTACATTTTACTTATATTTGCGTTTTTGCAACAAAATATTTACGCAGATTTTACCCAAAACGAGAACGAAAAGTATTTAACTTGTCCTCGTTTCGCCCTAAAAGTTATTTCGGCGCATAGACTGATGCAAAATTGTCGACCCGTTTAGTAACATTCGATTTTAGCGAGCAAGCATCAAATCGCATACATATTAAGAATGCAAATTCGCCAGGGTCGTAACATTATCGTTTCTCGACGACGAAGCGCGAAACATATATGCATAGAACGTGACAGGAACTTACTTTCACTGGCCTTCCGTATACACATTTGATGGTTTCACATATACATAGAACGACTAGTTCTACGATCACGTGACGCTGCTCGCTTGCAGATTCGTGTCTGCATCAACGAGAAGCAGCAGGTGTCCAAAAGCAGAGGTGACCAAACCACGGGCGAGAAGGAACGAGAGAGAGAGAAATAGATGGTGCGTGTATATATTTGTATGTATGTGTGTGTCCATGTACTGCGAAAAAAGAGGAAGGGAGAGAGTGGGGAGAGGGGAGGTGAAGATGGAGAATGTGCGCGCGCGAACGGTGCGAAACTGGTAATCCTTGATCTTACATGACGTAATAAATCCTTACCGAATACGGGAGTTGCGTTAAATGCAGAATATCTCATGGACTCGTGAGGCGAGCTCCAAAGAACATGATCGCGGCAAAGATTTATAACCACACGTAATTGATTTTAATGAATATTTCTCACAGATTTGGTGAATTCTCAAGGATATTCTCAAAAGTGAATGCACATATATATATATATATATATATGTGCAGAAAGAGAGTTTCTTTTAGGAATAAAGGAACAGTAATTATGTACGTACAAACTTACGAATTGTTTATAACCGCGTAATTGATTTCAAATGTTAAATGTCAAATTTTAAATGTTTCGTTTAGAACGCAAAAAGTAAAAAAATAGAATCGTATAATAAATAATATATATTTTATGCATTCTCCTTCGAATAAGATTTTTCAGTTCTTACTCAAGTTTATTCACAGAGATAAAAAGGCAAACAGAACGCTTTTCTCAAAATTATATTATAGAACAGATGGCTACAGAAAATATCAGAAAAGTATTGCTTTCCTCCCGATAATTTCGTCTTATTTGTAAAATTATTTGTAAAAATAAAAATCTGTTTGTATTCACACGTTCGCTGTTATAAAATGGGGAAAAAAACGTTTTGTAACGTAGCATTGTACGCGTTTGGGTGAATGCTTGAATCGCAACCAGAAGTGTCTGCATCATGTAATCATCTGAACCAACCTTTCTTTCACATCCTATCTCCTTTATATACATGAACGAATCCCCACCGTCCACATCTTGCCGCTTACTATTGCATGAATGTGATGTTACGTACATGAGTTATTTTAGCAAGAAACTAAAACACAGCAATAATTCGAATGAGCAGGAAATATCGCGCAATATATATATATATATAATAATTTAAAAAATGTTTTAAGTTGTCATTAACGTTAAAAATTATAGACAATCAAAATTATTGTCGTACACAGAAAAGTAGTGTGACATAATATTACTGGAATAGCAATAGCAATTGTTAGATATAATGCTGTGCAAGTCGCAAATTCTTCATTTAGAACACAATCTATTTTTGCATGACCTCCTTTTCTGTTTAAAATTATCTAAATAACATATTAAATCTACGCTTCCAAAATATGACAATTTTATGATAAAACATATACAGTTTTAGCTATAAGAAAACATTCTCACAAATTACATAAACGTTCTATCTAATAAAAAAATTAAAAACAGTTATTGAACAATAATATTTTTTTTATTTTTATAACATTATTAATTAATATTCTTTTTCTTATTAAGAAAATGCAATAAATTGAGAGTACTTTATATATTTAAGGTCAGGTAAGATTGTATTTCACTTTCAATGAAGAAAACTTTATGTATACGAAAACAAATGAAATATGAGGAAGAATCAAAGAAATATACATTGATATTCTACAATCGTCGATTTATTCGGAGATAAATAAAAATTGGATTGACGTCGATTAAAATCTGACAGATGGTTATCGATATGATAATTGATGTTAGTCTGATTTTTATTTCTCTAGATCACCTATTCGATATGAGACGAAAAAAAGTTATTCCAACAATTAGACAATCATTTATCCAGGCAAAATTTGCCGACTCTTGCCCAATGCGGACTTTTGGGTCGACGTTGACGATATCATAAACCGACCATTAATCGATCATGACGCAACGTTAATCCAAGCGAGGTTTGTCGAGTCTGATGTTGATGATATAAAACTGTCAAACATTAAGGTTACATTCAGACACATCATTCGAATGACTCAGTTATCCTTGTTTAACATACGGTGAACAATAAAGATAAATTGATATATGAAGCCATTCGGGTGATATTTCCGAATGTAGTCTAACCGAACATGGCGTTACATCAGCTTATAGGCTACATTAGTTAACTCTTGTTCGATAACTCTCGGGCTAACGCACAGTGAGAAAAGAATTACTGTCCAAAAATCGCTACAGACCGGACTTTTTATCTGATTAAGATATTTTTTATCAATCCTTAATGAATTCAGAAGAGATCTATAGAGGTCCGATTTCATAAAAAAA